AAAAAAAAGTCCCCTCAGCCTCAAAGCTGCAAGTGCTTGAGTTGAAAAGTCCCCTAAGATTTAGAAAGTTAGAAGTTGTGCAGTAATTGATGGCAAATGGATGGGCAACAGAAATGTTATTTCCCCCACTATTGTTACATGCTGCACCAGATCCTCTTTGAACATCTATGCTGCCTGTAAAATGCATGAAATTAGCATCCACCACCAAGATCAAGGACTTCCACCACCATCAGTAACTACCTGCAGATACAACAGCTCAAAGATTGGGATGGTTGAGTACCAACACGCCTCCAAGAGGCAGTGGGGAGACATTGTAGGAGACATTTCCTTGTGGCTTCTCTCAATGCCACCCTGGAAATATCTGGATGTCAAACCAGGGCAAGGGCTGGAGACTACAGGATTCACCATGGCTCCTCTGTTCTTTGCTATGTTACAGAATCCGGTGTGACCAACAGCCAGCGTGCACCGCAGTGACGTCTCTATATGTACAATACCTTCGAAATGCATGCATGCAAAAATACTGCTAGTTCACTGCAAAAATATCAGTTGTACAAAGAGGCAAAAAAAGTGAGAAAAGAACCGGGAGCCCATGCAGGGCAGATTAAGACAAGCTCTCTGCATGTCTTTTATTTCTGGGATAGTAAAAGTTTAAAACTGAGTGCATTTTGGGATATAAATAGACGAGAATATACACATAAAGGACTTTAGACAACAGCTCAACATGGGAACTGTAAAATACCATGCATTAGCGTTTACTAGCGTAGAATCACACTATTATGTTTCTGAATAACCACCCAGTCAGTCACTGAACAAAGGACTCTGTATATGGAAACTGTAGTTTGATTTGATCCATTGGCAAAACTTGCCAAATGCTGCTATTTTTAATGATGTAATTGTTGCATTTGTGAGTTAAAATGGCAAGCATTGGGGGGAGGGGATGGATTCAGTTTTAAATGATGCAAACATCACCCCCCCCAAAAAAACCCCTACACATTTAAAAGCATTTTATTGCTTTTGTACCAGGGTTGGTGTAATGTAGAAGAATAAAGAGGTTAATAGTTCTAAGCCAGTATAGGAAGGTCTCTAGAAGTACTTGCAGTCTGGCCCTGGGATTTGCCCAAGTTTGTGATGTGCTGAGTTTCCATAAGGCATCACAGAGTATTCAGCATACCAGTCCACTATAAGGAAGAGGAGCCCTTTGCCCACCTTCCATATCCCTTATAATCTTTCATTCCTTGATTGCCTACACAATGAACTGGAGTGAGGGTTATGTACGCTCCTTCAAGGGCTCTTGTTATGTGCTAGAAGGTGGGAATGTGCATTTGAATCAATAAATAACACTGTTTCCATAAATAGTATTTGTGGATATAAATCCCAGGGTGCATCAAGACACATCAATGAAGTGTTTCAGTTCAGTGCGTTGTAAACTTTGTATGAGAAATAGAGTTGGCAAAAACAGAATTCCACAGTGCCATCTGGTGTCACAGTGTTATAATGCATATACAACGCATATAGGGAGTGGGTGGCGCTGTGGTCTAAACCACTGAGCCTCTTGGGCTTGCCAATCAGAAGGTTGGCGGTTCGAATCCTTGCAACGGGGTGAACTCTTGTTGCTCTGTCCCAGCTTCTGCCAACCCAGCAGTTCAAAAGCACACCAGTGCAAGTAGATAAATAGGTACCACTGCAGTGGGAAGGTAAATGGCATCCATCACAGTGTCCCATTGCGCCAGAAGCGGATTAGTTATGATTGCCACATCACCCGGAAAGTTGTCTGTGGACAAACTCTGGCTCCCTCAGCCTGAAGCGAGATGAGCACCCCAACCCCATAGTCGCCTTTGACTGGACTTAACCGTCCAGGGGTCCCTTACTTTTACCTTTACCTTATACAATGCACATAAAACACTTTTTCTTTGCCAACATAGCTGAGTCCCCAGACTCTAGATAACATTGACCACACCTTTGGAATTCTATAATATTTAATATTCAGAATATATAACTTCCAAAGTGCACCTTTACTGCTAAATTGTTTTATATTGTTATGGGTTTGTGGGTTCCTGACCCTTCTATTTAATCCCTGGATCCAGCAAGTGTTAGAATTTAATCTAGGCTAAGGGGGTTAAACTGGGTGCCCAACCCCTTTAATACCTGGATCCAGCAATATTAGAATCTAATCTAGCCAATATAGCTTCCCCTGAGGTGATAGCCTGGGTGGTGGTCCATTAAGTGAGATTAAGGGGTTCAGCGAGAGATGGCCAGTGTGTGGGGGACCCCTTCATCAGCATATAAAACCAGAGTTGAGAGAGTGTGATGTAACCTAGAAGAAAAGCAGCAAGCTGGAGAGAGGGTCTGTTCTTTGCTTGAACCTATGGGAGAAACAAGACACTTTGGTGGTGTTAATGTTGTGAACCTCTCCACTGCAGGCTCAGGTTGTATATATGTGCAAATAAGGAGAACATCATAAAGACACTACAGTCTCCACTGGGCCTCGTTCCCAAAAGGAAACATGAACCCTGGCTAATCGTCTGAAACCCCTGGAATCTTGCCATAGCTGTCAACTTTTCCCTTTTCTTGAGAGGAATCCTATTCGGAATAAGGGAATTTCCCTTTAAAAAAGGGAAACGTTGACAGCTATGAATCTCGCACCACTCAGAGATCGGGCTTGCCTGCAACAATATGGAAGCTTTCCGGTAGAATATACTGTTAACTTTCAAGTTTTTGTCCAAGAGTATCTTATAGCACGTGGATGGGAATGCACAGAATTATAATGAGTTATATGTTCACTGGTTTTCTGGGGGCTTGAACTTAAGCATTCTTTCCCCATTGTTACTCCTCTTAGTATCTGATTTTATTTTAATTTCCTACCTTCCGACTTTATAGCTTGCTTGAAGGTGAAATATTAATGGTACAGAGCCCTGCGGTTGTCATCAGTCAGTTAGTTAACATATACGACTTAATACTAATTTAATTTACGTCTTGTTATATCGGCAGCCTTTATTTTTTTAAAAAAAGACCGTACCAGAGTTATGTTATAAAGAGCAAGAGTATATCCTGGAAACAAAAAAAGAAATGGAAATGGCCTCCATTCTAACACACACACACACATATATGTTATAAATTAGGATATTGTTAGCACTGATGGTTTGTATCAAATTCAGTGACCTACTTAGTGGTTATTCTTTCATTGTTTTAAAGGCATTGTGAATTAGAGCAGTATAGTCCTCTTTGCACCACCAGATCCTTGGAATGATGTCTGAGCTGTTAACCTTAAGTTTCTAAATGAAAGACACAGAGATTTAATGGATATGATGTCATTCCTCTATATCACATATGCCAGAACTCTGGACAGAATGTATTGGAAAATCAGACTCCATATGAAAACCATTTATTAGCTACTTAAAGTTGCAAAAGACCAAACCATACCTGGATCGGAGAATCTGGAATGAAGTTAAACTTTTTCCATACTACTGATTGTCCTGAAGCTGTATCGAAACATTAAACTTATAATTTTCATCAGCCTCTGATTTGCTTAATTTAACACAGGGGATGAATCAGTGAGTAAAGCAAGTTAAAAGTGAAGAAAATGGGACCTGATCTCATTTAGGTGCTCATCTCCTGTAGGCTACAATCCTAAACAGTGCTATCCTATTCTCCTGTGGTGTTGATACTGGGTGGGTGAAGTTAAGATAACCCCTATGCCATCAAGCGAATTTTCTTATGACTGCCAATTCAACCTCCATTGTGGTATGGACAATTGCTGTGAAAGCTTTTCACATTAGTTCTCTACAACCAACTTTTTAGCATGCATGCATGATATATATAAATAGATACGCCAATTGCTTTGCAGTGTACGTTATTTACATATTCATTAATACAGGTGCCTCTTGTTTCTGAAGTGCTGTTTGTTGTCAAAGGTACCCTCTATGTACTAAGATTACCATTCTAACCATGGTTACTCAGAAGTCGATGCCAGTGAGTTTAAAGAGGCTTATTCTCTGGTTAGTGGGTTAGTATTTCAGCCTTAATGTGCTTCTTATTGTGAATTTTAAAAACTAATGGGATGCCTCGCTCATTGCTGGTCTTTTCATAAGGAAAAAGTGGTCTCTTTTGTTGACTGTGGATTTTATTTGTACTCCCAAATTAAAGTTCTAGTCTCTTCATTAAAGTGAGGACAACCAACTGGATTTGACTGCACATTTTTGAGCACCCCATATTTTCCTTTTAAAAGTAAGATTAAATTTAAACTTCATTTCTCCCCCAGAAGTTGATTTATAACTAAACTGTTCCTCCCTGGTCCAAATCACTTTGAAGATAAAGAAATGTAGAAAGCAGGGGCCTTGAAGCTTCCACGCTTTGGAGTGGAAATTGCACTTTATGCAAATTCATTTCCTCTTTTCTTGACAATGCATAAATGGCCACACTACCTGCTCTACAGCCTCAAGGGGTTGATTCATGCCTTTAAATTGTGGTTAGGTCTCTTGGTTGCCTGGATTGAGGATAGAGAGGGGTGAGTATGTTTCAAAATCTCTGGCTTTTGGATAGCAAGAATGGCTCCACCCACTTTTTCCTCCTGGCCCTGCCCACTAATAGCATGGACCCCTGGAATATTGCCTACAAGGGAATATAGCATTCAGGATGAAAAGTATTCCCCATTGCTGAGGTATAGAATGGGGAACCGAGAGTAGAGTTTCATCAAAACTTCTTGCCCTCTGCATCCACTCATTTTATACATTAAAAGGTCCAACCATCTCCCACCCATCATTACTCTGCCACCATTAACCTGTTCCAGCAGCAAGAATGCCCTCAAATCCTCTTCTAAAAGAGCAGTATTCATTCTTGATACCTGTATTATCTTAGTTATCAAGCAATGTAGTGTCATGGAGGAAGAAGTGATTGAAAACCCCAAGGCACAGTAAGCAATTAAAAATGTAAAATTGAATTTGTATTAAAGAAAGGCAGAGTCTATATGGCATTGAAACTTAAAAAAATGGGGAGGGTGGCTCTAAAATGGCAAAGGGTGTAAAAAGTAGAAAAACACAAGATGTGTTTTTCTACTTTTTACACCCTTTGCCAAAGTGTTTTTCATTTACTAAAAAAGGAACAATTGGACTTGATTTGTTTACAAGAAACACATGTAACAAGGTTACACAGGAAACTACTGATTAGTAAGAGATTGGGACAGGAGTTTATCTCATCTGACAAAGTTAAAAAAAGAGGAGTTGTGATATATGCAAAGGAGAGACTATCACCAAAATTAATTTTTAAAGATGACCAAGGAAGATTTTTGGCAATTGAAATTCAAGTTCAAGGAGAGAAATTTTTGATAGTAGGAATTTATGCACCGAATGAGGGGAAATCTGAATTCTTTAAAAAGTTGCATGAGACCTTATTGGATTATTTGGATTACAATCTGATTTTGATGGGGGATATGAATGGAGTAGTATCTACAAACATGGATAAGGCACAAAGACAGGTAGTTACCAAGGATGGTAGACTACCGAAAACATTTTTTGAGATGACAGACAATTTTGATTTAGTGGACACTTGGAGAACAAATAACCCCTTGGGAAGAGAGGGAACCTTCTTTTCTGAAGCTAAGATGACATGGACTAGAATTGACCAAATATGGGTAACTAGAGGAATGGCACCAAAGATAAAGAAAGTGGAAATCTGCCCAAAACCTGCTCCGACCATAATGCGGTAAGGATGGAGTTGAAACTAACATCAACTGGCTCCTTCAGATGGAGGATGAATGACACCTTATTCAGAGATGAAGAAGTGTATAAAAAGGCCCAAAAAACCTTGAGAGACTATTTTGAAATAAATATGAATACTAATGTAGAAAAAAGAGTAATCTGGGACGCAAGTAAAGCTGTTATGAGAGGATTTCTGATACAACAGAATGCAACAAAGAAGAGAAGTCAAAATAAGAAGAAAAATAAACTTTTGGGGAAAATAAAAGAAAGTGAAAAGAAATTGAGAGCAAAACCAAAGTCGCAGGAGATTTTGAGAGAAATAAAGTTATATCAAGTACAATATATGGAAATGATGAATCAGGAAATAGAATGGAAAATTAAACAAATGAGACAAAAAACATTTGAATCAGCTAACAAATGTGGGAAATTGCTGGCCTGGCAAATGAAAAAAAGACAAAAATTAAATACTATTACAAATTTAGAAGTAGAAGGAAAGAATATACAAAACCCAACTGAGATTAGAAACTGTTTCCAGAGGTATTTTAAACAACTATATACACAAGGGCCACAGAAAGAAATGGATATAGACCGATTTCTGAAGACAAATGGATTACAAAAAATATCCCAAGAAAGTAAATTAATGTTGAACTATAAAATATCTGAACAGGAAGTAGAAGGTGCCATTCAAAACATGCAATTAGGCAAATCTCCAGGACCGGATGGGCTGACTTCTAGATATTATAGATCTTTGAAAGAGTGGCTATTACAACCTCTAAAGGAAGTCTGCAATGAAATATTGGAAGGGAAAAGGGCACCAGAGTCTTGGAAAGAGGCGTATATTACACTTATACCGAAGACAGAGGCTGAAAAGACTCAGCTTAAGAACTACCACCCCATATCGTTACTTAATGTGGATTACAAAATTTTTGCAGACATTTTGGCCAAGAGATTGAAAAAAGTATTGATGGAAGAGATTCATAAAGACCAAGTGGGCTTTCTCCCGGGAAGACACTTGTCCGATAATTTGAGGAATACAATTGATATTTTGGAAAAACTAGAAGTGAACATAAATACTAAAGCAGTTTTGATATTTGTGGACGCGGAGAAAGCCTTTGATAATATCTCTTGGAGTTTTATGAAGAAGAACCTACAGGGGATGGGGGTAGGCCAAGGTTTTGAAAACGGTATAAGTGCAATTTATTCAGAACAAAAGGCTAAACTAATTGTAAATAATGTGGTGACGGAAGAATTTAGGATAGAAAAAGGGACAAGACAAGGTTGCCCAATTTCCCCATTGCTTTTTATATCGGTCCTGGAGGTTCTGCTGAATATGATTAGAAGGGACCGGTTGGTTAAAGGTATACAGGTCGGAGCCAAACAGTACAAATTGAGAGCATTTGCAGATGACTTAGTATTGATGTTACAGGAGCCAGAATCTAGTACCAAAAGAGTTTTAGAACTGATTCAAGAATTTGGTCAAGTTGCAGGATTTAAGTTGAATAAGTTAAAGACCAAGGTTTTAGAGAAAAATTTAACACCAATGGAGAGAGAGAGGTTTCAGAATGAGACAGGTTTAACAGTGGTTAAGAAAGTTAAATACTTGGGGATTAATATGACAGCAAAAAATGGGAATTTATTTAAAGACAACTATGAAAAATGCTGGGCTGAAGTGAAAAAAGATTTAGAAATTTGGTCAAATTTGAAACTTTCACTGCTGGGCCGTATTGCTGTGGTAAAAATGAATGTATTGCCTAGAATGTTGTTTTTGTTTCAAACATTGCAAATTGTGGACAAAATGGACTGTTTCAAGAGGTGGCAGAGAGATATTTCTAAATTTGTCTGGCAGGGCAAGAAGCCCAGAATAAAATTTAAAATGCTAACAGATGCAAAGGAAAGAGGTGGATTTGCCCTGCCAGACTTTAAACTTTACTATGAATCAGCAGGTTTTTTGCTGGTTGAAAGAATGGTTGCTTCTTGAAAACACTGACATTTTGGATTTAGAAGGTTTTAACAATGTATTTGGATGGCATGCATATCTGTGGTATGATAAGGTCAAAGCACATAAAGCATTTAAAAATCACATTGTCAGGAAAGCATTGTTTAATGTCTGGATAAGATACAAGGACTTATTGGAAAATAAAACTCCAAGGTGGTTGTCACCGATGGAAGTAAAAGCTCTGAAAAAGCTCAATATGGAGGCCAAATGGCCGAAATATTGGGAAATCTTGGAACAAGACGGAGATAGACTGAAATTGCAGAGTTTTGAGAAATTAAAAAACAAAGTGCGAGACTGGCTTCATTATTATCAGATAATGGAGGCATATAATTTGGACAAGAAAATTGGTTTCCAGGTGGAAAAATCAAAATTAGAAACAGAACTGTTAGAACCCAAAACTAAGATTTTGTCAAAAATGTATAACTTGCTGTTGAAATGGAATACTCAGGATGAAACGGTGAAATCTGCTATGATTAAATGGGCACAAGATCTTGGACATAACATTATGTTTGCTGACTGGGAACACTTGTGGACCACAGGTATGAAGTTTACAGCATGTAATGCCTTAAGAGAGAATATTATGAAAATGATATACAGGTGGTACATGACCCCAGTCAAGCTTGCAAAAAATTATCACTTGCCCGATAACAAATGTTGGAAATGTAAAGAAACTGAAGGTACATTCTTTCACCTTTGGTGGACGTGCCCAAGGATTAAGGCTTTCTGGGAAATGATATACAATGAACTGAAAAAGGTATTTAAATATACCTTCTTGAAGAAACCAGAGGCCTTTCTCCTGGGCATAGTCGGCCAATTGGTGCCAAAGAAGGATAGAACTTTTTTTATGTATGCCACAACAGCAGCAAGAATACTCATTGCGAAGTATTGGAAGACACAAGATCTACCCACTCTGGAAGAATGGCAGATGAAGCTGATGGACTATATGGAACTGGCAGAAATGACTGGCAGAATCCGAGACCAGGGAGAAGAGTCGGTGGAAGAAGATTGGAAGAAATTCAAAGACTATCTACAGAAATATTGTAAAATTAATGAATGTTAGAATGATGTTGGATAGAAATTAAGTGGTTTCCAGCTGTAATGCTTTAAGGGAATATGAAAAATGGGTTGTTAATAGGTAAAAATCTAACGTTACTATTTTAAGACCAAAGATTAGGATAAACAAAGAGGGTAAGGATTTGCTGAACCAACAAATTGAACTGGAATACAAAAAAGGGAGGTATGAGGAGGTCTGGGAAACAAGCTAAGGAAAATAAGTAATAGAAAAATGGAGTGGTTTTTAATCATTTTTATTTTGTATTTTTTTTCTTTTTCATTTTTTATTGTAATATTTTAAAAAATCCTAATAAATATCTTATAAAAAAAAAAAGAAAAACACAAGATGCTAAATATTTCCACCACTTGTTGAAAAGTCAGCTGAGTTATTCAGGCTTTGGGGGCCCATTTGTTTGATGGGCTCCATTTTAGTTGCTTGTGGATGCTCCTGCTTTTTTAAAAAATTGCTGCTTATTGTATTGCTTTGAATGAATCTGCATTTTAGTTGCTTGCAAATGGCTGACTTTACAAGAAATTAGGCTGTGTATACACTATACCTTTCAGTCACATTTGAAGCCCATTTGAAGGATTCAACACAGGAGTCGGGAGAATGTTACCTGATTTGGTAAAACCCCTGGAGGATTTCTTCTCCACATTTATTTCTATTTGTTTAACTGCAGGGGGGCAGAGAAAATCAGAACCCATAAGACAACTGAGGCTAAAAAGCTAAAAGGCCTTCTAAAGGCTAATCTTTTAAAGACAGTGTCTATTCTAAAGCACTGACCTCTTTGGAGAATACACAGTAGCAAATGTCACCAACCCATGAGAAGTCCCCTTTAGATTTTATTGTCATTTCAATTATAGAGTCATCTCCATTTTGACAAGAGGGAGCTATTTATTGATTCAGATGTTGACAGCTTACCTGTTATTCACTATGCAAGAAATGAAAACGTGATTTACATTAGCATGGCTTCTATTTAAAACTGCAGGAGCTCTAGCCCAGAGTGGCTGGGAAACTCATCCAGATGGGCGGGGTATAAATAATAAATTATTATTATTATTATATAAGCTTATGAAGAAGACTGCTGGTCTGCAACAGCGAAGTGGTGGCGCTAGCGGTGTTCTTTCTGATATGCTAAGGTACATCATAGGTATGACACGTGATGTGCTGCACATGTCTGGAATCTCTAGTGACTGTTATTCTGAAAGGGAAAACCAGTGAGCTCATGTCACTGTGCTCTTTCCGTTCTCATAACAGCCAACAGGAAAGCCCCGTTGTGCATGAAGGCTTCTCAGGACGGCAGCCATAAATAAAGTATATATTACATTGTTGACTCATTGCAGTCCTGAAGTTCTGATCTTCAGGCAAAGTTTTGTGAGCCTGGCAACTCCTCCCATGTCTTCTTCCGTGAACAAGATGTATTTGGCAGCTGTGTTGGGGAATCCATTTGCAAGAGTGTTTCTTTTTCTAGAAAAATACATGGAAGCTCTATATCAGGGATGGGGCCCCTCAGCTACGAGGACCCTATGCAGCCCTCCAGATGTCTCTACCAAGCCTTATAAAGGGGGCTAGGTACATCACTGCCAGCTCCTTAGAGGAAACATTGGTTAGAGGGGTAATAAATGAAATACAAAGCTGAGCAACGCAGATATCTTTTTCAAAACTTTCAAATTTAACCCATTATGCTTGCCAGGCAGAAGTACATGGGTCATAGATTTTCTGCCGTCTATATGCTATACCCTTCCCTGAAGGGAAAAAAGGACTGATTGGTTCTCAGTTTCTAAGGTCAAAATCCAGTTTATTTTCATTTGTGTTGGAAACTAACCTAATCGAGTTTAATGAGCATGGGTCCCTGTATTCAGAAGACTAATTCAGCCAGATGCCCTGTACCAGATCCTTGGATAACATCAACAGGGTTCGTTGCTTCGTGCATTTCAATGGAGAAATGCCCGTTTGCACCAGCTCAATATGCCAGACTTGTGCCAGGCAGTCAGAATGTAGAAATGATCAGACATCTATGAATAATCCTTATCGATCTTTTCCTTAAAATACATATTTACAGAAATGTGAAAGTTAAATATAGAAATCACAGAAAGTCATAGGTCATCCCTCCCTCCCCCACAGCCAACAAAAGCAGAGGCGTTTTGAAGCACTTGAAAACCATCTGGAAAATGTCAGCTGGCGAAACTTTGTTCTTCCTACATTCTGAAAATTCAGAAAGGGGGGGGGATTTATTAATCCTTCCAAGAATCTGCACTTCAGAATGATGCCTGGAGAATGAGCATGAGTAATCACAGCCCCAGAAACAATATTACAAGAAAGTTGGGAGTGTTTAGAAAAGTTAATGGCATCTGTGCCAATAACAGTGATAGACTATATGACAGAATGGATTTGGGGCCTGTAAGTGCATATTGTGTATATATTGATGTGTATGTATTATACACATACACATGCAGAAGTAACATTCTGTTTATCTGGAACTGTTGTTTTAATCATTTTTGATTACCCTGAGGCAGAGTGACATTTGGTGCACATTTTTTTAAAAGTTAAAGAGATGATTTTTTAACACCTTGTAGCAGGTGGAGGCAAAACACAGCCAAGTGCTTATGAGATTACAACTACACACGTGTGAGATATGGTGCTGATGGTAGCTGTCTAACAACTGGTTTCAGGGGAGGAGGCAATCACTCATCCTCTGTCTGTTTCTTTCTGGATTTTCTGTCAGTCAGGGCAAGCCCGGGACACTTAGCTGCCTGATTGTCAGGGCCTGGTTGGCTGAGGAGGAGAGCTGGGAGCCACCAGTCCAAGAGCTCCTCAGGGGGGACTCAAACTGGTTGGATGAAGAAGCGTCGTGGGAGCCTACTTCCCAAGAGCCCCCCAGGGAGGGAGGGCTCTGAATATGACACCTTAGGTTTCACATGATTTTCCCAAAGACTCAAAAGTTGTTGTTGTTAAACAACTTCTTCTTCTTCTTCTTCTTCTTCTTCTTCTTCTTCTTCTTCTTCTTCTTCTTCTCCTCCTCCTCCTCCTCCTCCTCCTCCTCCTCCTCCTCCTCCTCACAACATAAAATCACAATTTAAAACATGAAATACATAATTAAGAAATACCCAATAATCCCCCCTCCCCAACACATTTTAAAAGAGCATTTCTTCATTAGAACAGAGAATTTTGCTGACCATTTCCATTTCATCCACAATGATAGATTGATGTAACAAATTGCATTGAACTTTAACTTTCCACTCCACTGTATTCAGATAACATATATATAGTCTATCTTAATGTTTTCAGTAATAATGTAAGAAACAAAGATGTACTGATTTTCCCGCAGACTTAAAAAAAAATACAATCTTATGTAGAAATGGAGAGAACTGAACTTAAATCTGGAAAAAAAGATGAGAAACGGAGAAAAACCAAAGCTGGCAAATTTGTCTATCCTTATCTATCTATAGCTGACCAAATCTGAAAACATAAGCATATGAAAATAATTTATCATAGACTTCATCTTCTTATGTTATCTCTACCACGGCAGTGCTCACCAGTTTGGCTTGGGGAGTTCTTCCCTCCCAACTGATACCCCTGCCCTGTAACAAATGTGGTCCAATTCTAATGAACTTAAATGTGACTTGGCATGATGTTAGTTAAGTAAGCCATATCATGCTCTTTGGCTGATCACCAGGTTATTGCTCAAATTTTGACCTCGCTGAAAACTGAACTGTATGGGTCATGGGAAAAGAAAACTCTAATATATGTTCTGCAATGGCACGTTCGGCCTTGCCAGGACAGTTGAGTCAAATGGCTTTCTTCCCTACTTTATTTTGACAATTTGTAAGGCAAGTTCTCCACCCAGTGGCTACAATACGCTTTGAAAGCACAATCCAGTATCTGACAGGCCGTTTCCTGAGTTCCTTTCTGGCTAGGGAAAACCATTAAGAAGTGGAAGCAATGGGGTGGGGGTGGACAGAAAATAACCTAGCTTTTTTATCATGAAAGACTACATAAATTCATCGCAGATCTATGAAGATTCAGAGCTGAATTTGAGGGAGAAAAGACAGACATCATTTAGATTCAGCTTCTAGGTTTTACATCTGCTGCATTCATCTGCATTGTCCTATAGGGGCATAAGAATCTACCTTATTGTCCATTGATGCCAGTATTCTGTATATTTACTTGCAGTAACTCTCCCACGTTTTTGGAGAACAGTCTTCCTAGTCTGTACATGGAAGTGCCAGGAGTTGAACCGGGCACCTTCTGCATTCAAAGCAGATGTCTTACCATCGTGCTACAACCTTCCTCTATATGTAAAACCGCATACAGTGGAACCTCGGCTGTTGAATGCCTCCATAGTCTAACATTTCGACTTTTGAGCACCGAAAACCCGGAAGTAACTGCTCCAGTTTTCGAATGATTTTTGGAAGCCGAATGTGCTACATGGCTTCCGTTTTGAGTTTCCCTATTGTATTGAGGCTTCTGTATTGAGTTTTCAGTTTTTGAACATTTCAGAAGTCGAACGGTCTTCCGGAGCAGATTATGTTCAAAAACCGAGGTTCCACAGTATTTCCGAGCTGGAAAAGGATCAAAACACTTCTGACACCATTATCTAATTTATTAAACTTGGATTAGAGTATTGAGTTTATACAATCCCCACGGCTGTGCCACACATGGGTGTAGCCAGAATTTATGTTGGGGGGACACCCATTTTTCATCACCCTCTGACTCTGTCTAGCAGATTTGGAGTGAAATGTCTCAACAATAGTTGTTTTAAATGACTTTCTTTTGACCCCAAGTGCTCAGAAAAACCTGTCAAAATCTTTCTACAACTACTACTTCTAGTTAAGCATTTTTATTTATTTACTTGACTGGGGGGGCAGTTGCCCCTTTGCCTACATCCATGCCACATATTACTTTTCTGTCCTTAGGAACAATGTACCCTCTGTATAGGCCAACAGAAATACCTATTTTGGTTGCAAGAACTGGAGGAGGTAACAGGGCTCAGAGGTCAGGAATTTGTTCTGCAGGCAAAAGGTTCCAGGTTCAATCCCAGTTATCTCATGGGAGGACTGGAAAAGAAAGCTGTGTGTAACTCAGGATAGCCACTGTTGGTCAATGTCAGAACTTGCCGTAGCTATGATTTCCTACTTAATTTGTTGGCCAGTCTAGTCTAGCCCCCTGCTCTCACAGTGTCCAGCCAGGTATGCCGGTGGGAAGCCCACAAGCAGAAACTGAGTTCAACAGTACTCCGTTCTCTGGGTGGTTTCCAGAAACTGGCATTCAGAAAGATAATGCCTCAATCAGTGGAGGCAGGACATATCCACCAGGCAGGGTTAGTAGTCAGGCCCTGAGCTTTGTGACTAAGTAGGGGTCAGGATGTGAACCATGATCTTTTGCCTACTGCTGCACCACACTGCCTTCTTTATGCACCATGCAAAATCTCTTTTCAACATAAGCAGCTAAACTTGCCATTAGTTGGGCAACTCTTGGCTGCAGCTCTTCGCTTCTTTAGAAGTTCTGCTCTGTGTTTGCTGAGGAAACCGTGACCCGTGAGGCAGCTCTGCCACCTAGTGGCTGTACAATGGAAGTCACCAAACTAACTTTTTCTGAAAATGCGTAAACCTCTTGGGGTTGTTGGGGGCGGGCAGGTTTTCCCCGTAATATTTTTATCGGCTTTTAATACAAAAATAACAAATAACAATTGGGAGATTCCATACAATTGCATAAAGCAGTTCCACAGCTGGTAAATGGTTTGATTATAATTATAAATTATTTATTACCCACCAATATAGATTAAAGAAAATTATTCATTATCCAACACTTTATGCATGGTGTCACCTCCGTGTGGAATTTAGTGTTGTTGTTCTTATTACTACAATCCTTAACCTTTATATCCCAGCTTTCTTTCAAGGTGCCCTACCTGGCTCTCCTCCTCTGGATTTTATCCTCACCTTTTGAAGTGGGTTAAGCTGAGAGACACTGACTGACCCAAGGACACCCAATGGGGATTTGAACCCAGGTCCCCACAGTCCTAGTCCAACACTCTAATCACTACACCACACTGGTTCTGGTACTACAGCAAGCGGGGAGGGCATTTATTTATTTCATCAGCTTTTCCTCTAGAACAGGGGTCAGCAACCTTTTTCAGCCGTGGGCCAGTCCACCATCCCTCAGACCATGTGGGGGGTCGGACTATATTTTGGAGGAGGAAAAAATGAATGAATTCCTATGCCCCACAAATAACCAAGAGATGCATTTTAAATAAAAGGACACATTCTGCTCATGTAAAAACACGCTGATTCCCAGACCGTCCGTGGGCTGGATTGAGAAGGCGATTGGGCCGCATCTGGCCCATGGGCCTTAGGTAGCCTACCCCTGCTCTAGAATCACTTATGAGCCGACGGTGCATGCCTGGGTTGTCTCCTTTGATTGCATCCATTAATTCCCTGGAATTAATAGGGGCTTTCAATCCATCCAAGGTAGTCAAATGTGCAATGAAAGACATTGATAATGCATCGCAAGGAGGAAGTAGCTGGTGTTGGTCCACAGAGCAGGATTAGAAGCATCAGGTGAAAATTGCCAGTAAGCATAAACCTCCTACAACTAGGAAGGATCTGTTTGACAGTGGAACAGACTTTTCTCAGGAGGTGATAGTCTGTCCCCTCATTTAATCCCCACAACAACCCAGTGAAGTTGGTTAAGGTGTGTTATAGGAAAATCCTTGGGCTCACTTGGATTACCAAACAATGACACCAGCCAGGAACAGAGGAGCAAAACAGCAGCCAGCAGGCCTGGTCTTTATTCAAACAACTGTTGCAACAGGCCTTCCACCCACCGCATGGGAGAAGCAGGAAGAAGCCCAGAGCAAAGGATGGCTCCCACTTTTATCAGTTTTACAAAGATACCTACAACACCGCTAAAAGTACATCATGCATACATCACAAATACATCACCAATTGGGAGGGTCTGGTGACAGAAATCTGAGCATCAGGTTTGTCCCCATCATTCCCTTGACCTCCACTTCACACCCATCAAGTAAGACAAAAGAAGTTCCTGGTTTCCCAGACCAAGTTAATCACACCTCTTTGTCCCAGCCAAGAACCTAATCCATTCCTGGATGGTTTGCCATTGTCCATGGGATGACTGCCTGTTTGGCACCCAATTGCCAGGATGCCAGCGATTACCCCTTATGCAAGAGGCTGCTGTATACATGATCCCAAGTTTCAGGGATTCTGGCTGCCCACATCCCAGACTCTGCCCTTGGTAGCCATTCCTTTCCTGAACAGAACAAAATTGGAATGGTGCAAATCCATACTGCAGCAATTTTATATACCTTTCTAAAGTTTTCCCACTGAGCCAGTACGTAGATACATTTATCAGTGAATTGTTACATTTGGTAATGTAATGCAGAGGCTCTTTGAACAGAGATAGGGAAAACTGTGATGAAGTGTTTTCTGGGGACATTTGCCAAAGTGATTGTGTTGATTCTGGTAGTCGGGCTGTGTGTGTGTGTGTGTGTGTGTGTGTGTGTGTGTGTGTGTGTGTGATATCTGCTGGAGGAGCAACCCCCCCCCCAACATTTACATAAATTCCTGCAACAGGTGAGAGACTGGCCACCCAGGATCACCCAGTGAGCTTCATAGCCAGGTCTCCCAGGTCCTGGTTGCGCTAACCACTATACCGTGTTAGCCCTCAATGACATTAAAAGAGGATTCTGTACCATTGAAATCACTGGGATATGTTAGTCAGGACCAGGGACAGGGAAGAAATTCATTTGGTTCTCATTTAAATGTGAAACCTACCAAATTCACTCTTCCTGAAGCAATACATCAATGAAACACTGCTCTCTTTCAAAGTTCACACTTCTCTGAATTTGGCAATGCCATTCTCCAGTCAAAGAATGTATACAAAATATTGGTGAGAAGGTAAAGGTAGGTCAAGGAGCCCTGGACGGTTTAGTCAAGTCAAAATCAACTATGGGGTGGGACACTTATCACCGCTTTCAGGCCGAGGGAGCCAGCGTTTGTCTACAGACAGCTTTCCGGTTCATGTGGCCAGTGTGACTAAACCACTTCTTGTGCAACAGAACACCGTGACAGAAGCCAGAGTGCACAGAAATGCCATTTACCTGCTAAAATGCATCACATAACTAAAGCAATGTACAAAAGTGTGTTCTGTTATGGGAGAATGGGCTTGCACAAAGCTCTGATGGAGCTAATCTATTATGAGCAAGATACAGCCAGAATGTAATTCTGGCAAAACTAGGGGGGGGGGGGCGGCAAAGAAGTGATCTGTCCTTTGGAGACAAAGTCTTGCCAAAACAGCTCTGAAATTGTTATGGGTGAGTAAGCCCGCTCACGTTGCTCTTAGCAAAAATGAGCTTTAAGCTACTACATAAAAGTTGTTTAAGTTTGTGACGCCAAATAAAAATAGTTCCCTCCATCTGTTCCTCAATGCTCTGGGTGGCAGTATAGCTCTATTCTGCATCGTTCCTTATTACAAGAAAACATGGCTGAGACTGATGCACTGAGGAGAAGGAGGAGAAGAGCAAACAGGTTAACTATGCCTACTATGGTTGGGGGGAAGCAGACACTTTGTAATGTACAGTTGATTATATTCTCGCTTTAAATGAAATAGTGCTTTCTTACCACTTTCTTGCCTGCATAGTCCTGTGGATGCAGAGCATTATTGCTCCATTTCTATTGGGGGAAAGCGAGTGCTGAGAGTGTTGTGCTGAAGGAGCACATTGTTGCGCTGAGCTTGGGTTATCCTGGTTGTTCCAGCCCATGGGATGAATGAGGTCTGGAAGGCAGGTCTCCCCATTTGGCCTGCAAAGCAGCTTTTGCTAAGCCAGGCCCACCTGCTTTACCTGTGTGACAGGTGAAAACACAGAAAAGGCTGGCAACCTGCTCAGCGGCTGAGCTAGCCACTCAGGCACCCAGAGCAGCGCACATGCCCTGCACCCGGGGGCGGGGCGAGCCGCCTGGGGGGCGATTGGCGCGGCGGCAATCAGCGCAGTGGCAATCCACCCGGGGAGGCGATCAGCGTGGCAGTATTTCTTCTCCCATGTTATTTTCTTCCTATTCTCCCTTCCTGCTTTTAACTTTACTTATCAGTCTGTTCCCCTATCGGATTATTCCCCTTTCTTTTAACTAACCTATAAGATACAGGTTCTACAATGTCAAATAGAATTATACAATACAATACAATGCAGTACCGTGCAGAGCTAAAGGGAATTGTCACAGTTCTCTCCTGCTGCAAGATCTTTCTCCTCCTTCTGGTGGCGCTGCCAGCCGAATTTTA